TATGCTAGCACTCAGACTGCTTGCTGATGCATACAAAGCAGCTTCACTTGAACTATAGAGAAAGGGAGTTCCGGAGAATCCTAATTGGGAAAACCGTTGCATGCGTTTTGTTGCTGCAGGAAAGCAGCTCTTGTACCATCGCTGCTATGTTGTTTTGCGGGTGACCGTGTCGGAAGCGCGTCCCGCCCTGACTGATGGCCCAGCTCTCAGACGACGTGTGCTGGTGCGGAAGTCCCATTCCTCTGGACCCATGCAGACGCGAGCGCAGCTGCTGCAACCAACGCTGCTGTTTCTAAATTTCTTCGGAAGAGCACTCTCAAGGTGCTGCCTGGCAGCGGACCATGACAAGGTGCTCTTGGCGGAGGCCGCGACCTGCGCCCTTCTAATCTGGCTTGCGCAGAAGGGCGCGCCTGAAGTGCGGCGCTTGGCGCGCACTCGCGTTGCGGTCACCCATGTCCGGCTACTGGACTGCGCCAGAGGATTTGCAGGTGCATGGTTCTTGCACTCAGGTGAAGCTCAAGGTCCGCCTTGAAAGCTGGTCGGCATCAGACTGGCGCGACGCAGCTCAGGCCATCGCAGGATCTGCCGCGGCGCGGGAGAAGGAGTTCTATCATAGCGAGATGGCAAGGCTGGGCGCGGCCATAGCTGAGAACAAGGAGCTGCTGGAGGAAAAGGAAGTCGCAGCTGGAAATGTTGTTTTGGCAAGCGTGAGGCTGCAGCGTCGCGAGGCTTCTTGCGAATCCACTCGACTGATTAGACAACGTGTTATGTGCGGGCTTGCCTTGGCACATGTGTCCCGGACTTCGCTCCCTGTGCCACTTGCTTGGGAAACCAAAAGGACACCGCCCCAAAATGGCAGGAGCATTTACAACAACAACAGCCACCTTTTACGGGAAACCTCAAACCCTTCTTGGGGCTCGGTAAGGGAAGCCAGAACAAGGACTCATGTTGCTCCCTATCAAAACAGGGTTTTTTGAGCCCCAGAAAACTTGGCATCCTGCCTGGCAGGCTTCCGCAGAGGCCGAAGGTGAAGTGGCAGGATGGCGTGGCATCCAAGGCGTCGCAAGCGACATGAGGGGTGCTGCAAGAGGAGCCGCCACAGTGCAAAGCGAAGAAGCCGCATGCTGTTCTCAAGCGACCCGCTGCCAGGAAGCGGCCGGCCAGCAGCCAAGTTTAGACTACTGAGATTTGTGAGCTGGGACAGAAAGAGGCTCGAGCTTCTCCTGCATCCATTTGCATGCGTGTGTGTGTGTGTGCGTTGCAGCGCGTGTCACGGGATTATTGCAACAGGCTGGACAAGAGACAGCGTTGCCTGCCAGGCCTTGTCGTCTGCGAAACACGGCGGCGGATCTGGCTGAGCATTTGAAAAATGTGAGGCGAGCTTTGATGTATTTTTCTTCACAACGCACCATAATATGTTCCCTGCGGGGGCTTGCAACATCTGAAAAAGGCGGCGTCCCGCCGAGCGGCTCTGACCCATATCTGGCCCACCTGAAGTGACAGGAACGCGGCTTGCATCCGTCTTTGTCACCGTGCTTGGCCCGCCAGCTTAGCAAAGCATTGAAGTGCCACTGCGCAAATGGCCATTCCCCGTTGGTGTTACGAGCCAGGCGCTGTAAGGCAACATTGCCAGCACAGGTGTATATTGAGCATACTGCTTTGTAGCGAGCTGAGACGGGTTGTGGTTTTCTTGGAGTGTTAAAGAGCACACTGCGTGGCTCAAGGCCCAGGTTGCGCCGGCAAAGAGACTGCTGAGCGACTGTCAGATGTGCCTGGGCCCTGAGCCAGGGCACTGTATCTTTTCAGTTTCTTTGTTTGTCATTTGTTTGTTTGGTTGTTTGCTTGCTTGCTTGCTTGCTTGCTTGTTGCTTCGTTGTTTGTTGTTTTTGCGTGTTGTTTGGTTGGTTGGTTGGTTGGTCGGTCAGTCGGTCGGTTGGTGGGTGGGTGGGTGGGTGGGTGGGTGGGTTGGTGGGTTGGTGGGTTGGTGGGTTGGTGGGTTGGTTGGTTTGGTTTTGTTTGGTTTTGTTTTGTTTTGTTTTGTTTTTCTTGTTTGCTTGTTTGGTTGATTGGTTGGTTGGTTGGTTGGTTGGTTGCTCGCTTGGGTTAGCGGTGTCTATTTGACTTTGTTGGTTTGTTTGTTTGCTGGTTCGTGTGAGGCGATCCTCGATGGGCAGTGCTGCCCGGGGTGCTGCACAGCGAGGCTTTGGGATTGACTCGGTTGACGACGGGCTTTACTCGGAGTGAGCCGCCGGCTGGGAAAGCAGGGCCTTGCAATTCTGTTCATGGTTGCTCCGCTTCGGACTGAGGTACTGCGTATTTCTAAGCGTGAACCTGAGGAGGAGCATGGTGGTTATAAAGTAACAATTTATACATTCCATGATCCCTTCAGGTGGTGGGGGGCAGTGACCTTCTGTGTGTTGAACGGGGGCCTTTGAACAGGAGGATCTCTGGACGAACCCTACAGGTCTCTGTGAACAGGATGCCATTCCAGAAACCAATTCTGAAGAGGACCTTGAAAGGTGGTGACTTTTAGAAGTCAAGTCTGAAGGGGACTTCTTATGGGATCAATGTTGGCCAACTTGCAAAGTAAATCTGGTTTAAAGGGTTTTGGTTCCCAACCCATCCCCACAATGCTATGGTTTAAAAAGCCAGTCTGTCGCCTCCCCCTTTCCAAGGGCCCAGCTGGCTTTGTTCGCTGATCAGCACTCGAAGCACCCTTGCGGCTTCCCTTCAATCATGTTGCTGTCTATCTTTGCATCACCTGCCCCCAGATCTTCAAGTGAAGGCCTCGGGAGTTTCAACCGGCTGGTGGCTTCACCCGGCTCAGCTGTCTGCTGCAGAGGCCGCCTGGGGCAACGGCACCACGGAGTACGCGCTGGAGGCGCTGCTCTTCGCCGCCAAGCGCCTCTCAGCGCCATCCTCCCAGGAGAAGCGCCTTGGAAGTCATCGGAAGCGTCCAACCCAAGCCCAATCAACCTAGGAGCCAACCCAAAATGGACGGGGGGATCTTTGTAATTCCATGTGTGGCAGCGGCCCATTTTCGGTTCAAAGACGACTAGAAGCATGGAATTAAGTAAACTGTGTTGGTTCAAGTGCAGTAGAAGTGAGGAAGGTGTTCTTCCATATTCATGTCGCTCAATGCACTTGAGATGCTACAAGCACATGTGTATTCTAGTTGCGGGGTAAGGAGCCAACAAGCAGGGGGATGTACAAGAACATGCTCATGCCACTGCCCCTTTGTTCAATCGGCAGAGTGTGGGCGGGCGCTGTCTTGGAACATCGAGACCAACACCGCAACTGGTTGGGGCACAGCACGAAGAGGCACAACTGTATCTAATATAAGTTGTCTCTCCATTGATGTATCTAATCTATTCTAGTTTGATCCAATCCAATCTAAGAAACATGTCTAACAAAACAATCTATCCATCTAAACTACCTTGTTGTTTGTCTAGCCGTCTGTTTCTTCTACCTGTCTATCTACAAATCGAGTGATGCAATCTATCCAGCTTATGGAATATGTCTAATCTAACTCTAATTCAATCCAAATCTAATCTAATCTAACATATTACCTAACCGAATGTATCTAATACACAAATAGAGCCAATGTAGTGTACACCATTCAGATCTGCTGAAAGAACCCTCGACAGAAGGTCTTCAAGAAGCACGTCGCTGCAAGCAAAGGGTTTGTGAGTTCTACGTTGGCGATCAGGAGAGCATATTTGTTTGGTAAGTTTTCGAGGAACCCACCTCAACGAAGCCTGGGAATTTAGATCGGGGGTCAAGGTCTTCGTGGTCCAGGGTGGCAGGTCGTCCCAGCGTAGACACACAGATGCACAGCAGGTCGTCACAAGGTGCGTCAAGCTGAGTGTGGTGAACAGCAAGTTATGACACAATACTCGTATCTACCGAGAATCAATTGCGCTTTGCGGCACACCAAGTGCAACACAACTTGGGAGGCCCGTGCCTGCTTGGACGGCCTCGAACCTGTTGGGTTTGGGCCGTTTCACTAATTAGCAAAAGTTCATCATAAATTCTTCCTGTTGGAGAGGGCAACCTGAGCCAGGGGGTTCTATCACACACTTCATTTACAGCCATCTCATGTTTTTGGACCTTTCTTGGCCAAACAAGTTTGCATACGCGTGTCCAGGCAAGAGTGCTTGTCATGTGTAGTAATGCCCCCCTGAACGCTGCTGGCTGCATCCGGATACAAACGACTGGCTAAAGCCTCAGGCCAGTTGCACTTTTGCACGCTTTTCTCAAGTGGCCATGATGTTTCTTGACAGCTGCTGATTTGCACGACGCCCACTTTGGGCCTTTAGGCTTCCCATTCGTGTAACAGTCAAAGCACCTGTATCTCCATTTGGGTTTCGCGCAAGCGGATTCCCAGGAATATTGGACCCCAACGAGTCAAGCCCTTTGTCGAGTGGGAGACATGGGCCCCGATGCGAGCGGGTCTCTGGTCCTGTGACCGATTTTCTCAGATAGTCTGCAACTGTCAAATCAGCGAACGCTTTGGCGGCAGGTGGGTGGTCAGAATTTGCAAGTTGCATCTAAGCGGCCTGTCAACCCGCTTAAATCAGGCAGCGGTTTGGCACTGAGGTTCGCGTGCCCGATCCAACCAGTTCCTGAGATGCAAGTTTGGGTCCTGCCTGGCGTCGCAGTTGGACGTGGACTTGACTTGTGAGTTGGTCATCTTGCAACAGGCCCAACAGTTTGAACGCGGTTTGTCAAGCAAACTGAGCAAATGGTGGTTGAGACTGCGCCCATCCGCCTCTGACCGGCAGGTGGTTGGAACGGGCCAGCTCAAAATAAAGGGGGGGCTGTCCACTTTGGCTTTTGGACCACTGGGAGCGACAAAGAAGCAGAGAAGGCAGGTCTGAGGTTGTGAGAGCAACCGAGAAGGCTTGAGTATGGTTTCACCTGCCACAACAGGAGTTTTCCCTCATCCACAAAGGCCCCAAGTGCCGCCAAAAGGGAGGTCCTCAATGATAGACCTGAATTGGTTCATCTCCGGTTGGCTGCAAGCATATCTCTAAGTATGCAAGGAAACATTGTAAACCTTTTGTGCAAATCCATCCAGCATTTGAGTGTGGCAGTTGTTTTTGTTCACAGGTCAGGGAAGTTGTTGTTGTTGCCCTAGACGACGGCTTCTGGTCCTTAGGAACCTCAGTATCAGGTTGGCATGTATCTAAACGTAGATACATAGATTGGTGACCCCGGGCACGTAGTTGTTTCTATTGAAAGGACAAGGATGGTGTGGGATCAGGGGGGGTCAGTTCTAGCTTTCCTTCACCCCAGGCTTTCAAACGCCTTAAGGCCCCGGAGGAACGTCCAATGCAGACGAGTCGACGTCGGATGGATCAGAGGTGGGGAAGCGACGGAACCAACAAATTATCAGGTGGGCTCGCATTTTCACATGTTTTGAAGTGGGTCTCTGCACAAACAACATTGAGGCGTATGGCGTTTGCACGTATCGTCACCTAGGACGTGCGGCTGCCCATGATCTTCGTGGATGACTTGACCCGAGGCCTTTTGAGCCTCCAGGAGCCTTAAGGGTCCACAGTTTGTGAGGGAATGCCACTTTCCCTCAAACGAAATCCAAATTCTGACCATTCTGAGTAACCAGCTTTCATGAGTCCAACCACTCTGTTTTAAGTTTTAAGTGTCTGTCGGGCGATTGTTTGATGGTCGCCAGTGGATGGGGTTCCATGTTGATTCCCCGGGGAGCGTCTCCACCCTGTGGCGCCCTTTTTCCCTTTGTGGAGCTCGTTGCCCGTGTTCGCTTCCCCAAGCTGGGTTCATGATTTCCAGTCAGGTGTTGAGGTTCCTATTTTCTTTGGTTCTAGTAGACTTCTCACTTCAGACGTTAATTCTGTGCATAGTGTTGTCCAAACCCATTTCATGCTGGCTCGGGATCTCGGGATACCAATTTTACTGTTCACAAACTGCGGGCCAGAATCTAAGCCTGCTATTTCGAGAAGTGTGCAAAACCCAGCTCAGTAGATGATACAACCCGTAAATCCACGTTGATCAAAACTTGCTTGGTGGGTTCGGGGCCCCTGGTTGATTGTTGGGGAGCATTGCAGTTTTGAGGGAACCACCCTTGTATTAATCCGGAAGCTTGATGAACCCGCCGGCAAACGTGGTCAGCCCCAAGCAGCATGCAGGATGCCCCGGAATCCCAGCTCCGGGAGCCTGAGCGTGGCTACGCGCTGCCCGGGGTGTCCTTTACCGCTGAGGAAAAGCTGGGCGTCGCTGAAAGGCCCACAATCCCACTTCTAGGATTGTTGGAAAGAGGAGAAGTGACACTCCCTCCAACAAATGCTTTTGCATTCTTATGTCTTATGTTTCATGCCCGTGTGCAGGAAAGTAGTTCAAGAGAGGGGGCGGCGGGAAAGCCGCCCTAGGCTTCCTTTGGGGTGTGGTTTGCTTCGGATGCTCTCCGGTTGTCCTGCAGAATGGCATGGAAGTTGAGGCCAACAAGATCATAACTTAACACGGCACCTGTACGCTTCTGGCCTCCGGACACGCACATCTTCGAAAAAGTCGCCAACACGAAGCCCAGACGCAAGCCATGCGTGCGAGGGACTTGAATTGATATCCTGCTGTCGTGCAAGCTGTTTGCACATATAGCGTTTCAGGATCAACAAAATCAACGGGTCCAAAGTTGTACCCTTAAGGTCGTATCCCCGCAAATATGACGGTCGTTGGGAGATAAAGTGGGCGGTATATACTGCTCAAATTTAGGGTACGACTCGTACGGTACGACCTTAGAAGCACATCTCTCTGAATTCTCTGGGACCCTTGAAACTTCACAAGTTCTATGTTCGTGACATTTTTTTGGATTTTAAAGTACAATGCCCAGAAGGAGGTATTCTAACGGGTACCCTGCCCATCACAGACAACGCTCTTTTACTTACCAAGGGCAAATATTTTCTCAGCAGGAATTGTCGCATTAGGGAATTTGCGAGATCATGGGTCCTTAGTCGTTTCCATTTTCACTTAGCAAATGTACACATATCATAACAGTACACTACGTGGGTTTTTCTATATTAAGTCAATGACTTCCCCCAAAGAGTATGCTTCCCCCGGCGCACTTCAAGGGTACAGATCATTTGTGTTTAGGTGGCCACATCAATACATTTAGAGCCCAGAACGTGTCCATGTCTACAATCTGCAAGGCCTTGTGCAGGAAGTGTTGTTCCCTGCGAGGTTCTTTCACCTCACACTGTCATGAAAGTTATTGTTGACGATGCGCAGGCTGTGGGTTTGGGTTTGTGTTGCTTTTGTTTGCCGGGTGGGGCGAATTCACTTTCTTTTACCGTTTGGCGGAGACTTTATGCAGTCATCAAACAAGAAGCTTGCATCCCAATTTTTGCCCGTAAGTGCCAATGGTTCCTCCAGGAGCTGTTCAAAGAGATCCGCTATCACGTGCCCAACTTTGAGTATGACGTGCAGATCAACGAGAACATGTGCCTTGGCTTGTGGCTGGTTCCGTAGTTTTTTGCTTCGGGGACGGCGGGGTGGCCCTGGAATGTCATGCCATATACATGCCTTTGTAGGGAAAACTATTTGAGATAATCAAGGATTACAGGGGCTTTGTCAAAGGCACTTGCAGGTATCCACACTAGGCAGGCCTTTGGTTTGAGTTGCTCGCCACTGCATCACCAGCATTGTTTGTCTCAATATGTTTTTTGCAAAGGGTCATGTACGACTTTATGGGGCTCCCTTTTTTTTCACCCTTCATACTTGTTTTTTCAACCCTTCCTTTTTTTTTTAACCCTCCGACCTTCTTGGAACCTCTCAACGGGGACCTTGTTTTTCTAACCCTCAGGAGTCCTTTTTTTCCAACCCTTGAAATTGTTCTTTTCACCCTCAACCTTGCTTTTTTCACCCGGAACCTTTCTTTTTTCACCCTCCCCCCCTGCCTTTTTCACCCTCGGCCCTGGTTTTGTTAACCCTCAAACTTTGGTTTGGCGCACTGGACAGCAGCTTTGGTGTGTAACAGGCAGAAGTTGTTCAATTTCTTATTGGTTTTTTGTCCTCGACCTTGCTTTCATCATCCCCGACTGTTTTTTACATCATCGGATTGAGTTAATCAGGGCAGTTTGCATGGGAAGATAACGATGGGTCACGAGTCACTTAGACAACGGGCTGGACAACGGTTGCACTCTGGTTATTGGTCCTATGTTCCTCGCCGCGTTGCTGTTTTTAGTTGGAGTTGTGAGCTTATGGCCCCATCCCACCTCTTGTAACTTCTCCTCAATAATGCTTACCGTAGTTTCAGCCTTGCTTCTTTGTATCTTGAGTTTAAGTGAAGTTGTTCAGCGCATAATGTTGACCTATGATTAATAAATAGGGGGGCCCCCCCCCCCCCTGAATGACCATAAATAAAGATTAGGGGAGAATTTTCAGGGTCGGGCCTTGTTTAAAGGAGTTTAGTATTGGGCTCAGTTTTTTTGGTTTTCGAATACTACTTTAGAATTGGGCCAATTCAAAAGTAGTATTGGGCATGTTGTTTTTTCTTATTTTGCTTTGGGGGAATACTAGTTTAGAATTGGGCCAATTCTAAAGTAGTATTGAGCCAAGAACTTTTGCATGCATTTCATGAGGGTTTGCGTGGGCAGGCATGTATTCCAGGAGGGATTGAGAAGGACATTCATGAGGGGCTGGCATGCATTTCAGGAGGGATTGCGAAGGACATTCATGAGGGTTTGCATGGGCAGGCATGTATTCCAAGAGGGATTGAGAAGGAAATTCATGAGGGTTTGCATGGGCTGGCATGCATTCTAGGAGGGATTGAGAAGGACATTCATGAGGGTTTGCATGGGCTGGCATGTATTCCAAGAGGGATTGAGAAGGACATTCATGAGGGTTTGCATGGGCAGGCATGCATTCTAGGAGGGATTGAGAAGGACATTCATGAGGGGTTGCATGGGCAGGCATGTATTCCAAGAGGGATTGAGAAGGACATTCATGAGGGTTTGCATGGGCAGGCATGTATTCCAAGAGGGATTGAGAAGGAAATTCATGAGGGTTTGCATGGGCTGGCATGCATTCTAGGAGGGATTGAGAAGGACATTCATGAGGGTTTGAGGCATGTATTCCAAGAGGGATTGAGAAGGACATTCATGAGGGTTTGCAGGGGCTGGATGTATTCCAAGAGGGATTGAGAAGGACATTCATGAGGGTTTGCATGGGCAGGCATGCATTCTAGGGATTGAGAAGGACATTCATGAGGGTTTGCATGGGCAGGCATGTATTCCAAGAGGGATTGAGAAGGACATTCATGAGGGTTTGCATGGATTCAGCATGACATTCACAAGGGGAGGCATGGGTTTGCAGGCATTTCAGCAAGGGTTCAGTGAGCATTAGCTCGGCCAGCATTGCAGCCATGTCATCAGTGAGTGAGAATTCATGGCATGAACTTCATGAGTCAGATTTAGATTCAGGGCATGATGCAGATACAGAGCAGGCTGGGCAGGAGGAGGCTGGATCAGAGCTGGGGGAGGAGGATGAGAATGCAGCAGTTGATGAGGGTGCATCAGTCCAGCGTTATTGGGCCAACCAGTACACTGCATTAGTGGGCATGACAAGGAGAATCAGGCATCATGTTGAAGTGCTTAATCTGATTGGTCAGTATTTGGGCATTGATGTTGCAGACACATACTGGTGCCTGCATTATGCAGGCAGTGTGTATCAGTTTGTCCAGCTGGAGAACCCTGCATATTCAGATGCATGGTGCATCTGGGGCTGGGTGATTGAGTATGCAGCAAAAGGCAGCTACTATTTTGTGGGTGATGAGATCAAGGAGCTTGAATGTCATGTTGGAGATGTGCCATCAGAACTTGCATCATCAGGCTCAGATCAGACTCAGCACCATCAGGCTCAGGATTAAATTCAGATGCATCAACCACAACATCCTGTACATTCCCTCAGCATCCTCATGAGATCAGGTTTGTAGATTAGTTAGGCTCAGTGCAATGGACATGGCAAGTGTATGACAGAAAAAGGGTTATGGTGGTGTGTGGTGGGTGGTGTGTGGTGGGTGGTGTGTGGTGGGTGGTGTGTGGTGGGTGGTGTGTGGTGGGTGGTGTGTGGTGGGTGGTGGTGGGTTGGTGGTGCCAGCACCATTCCCTTTCAGCCCTGGCCAAGCCCTGCTAGGATCAGATCTTCATCAGGTGCTGCATCCAAAGAAGGATGATGAGGCAAAGAAGCCAATTGGAGAAGGGAAGGATGAGGAAAAGAAAGATGAGTAAGCAATGAGTAGCTGCAACCCAGTGTTCTTAGCAGTTGGCATCAGGATTGAGTTGGAAAACATGAAGGTGCATGCGCTGTCATGAGTGGCATGGGGGCAGTGAGCATGGATTCACTTGGCATCATGTGCATCCAGCATGTGCATGAGCCATTCAATCATCAGCAGCCTTTTGCACCATCAGAGCTTGGAATCAGTTTGTATTTGGAGCCCATTAGCATGGCCATGAGCATGAAGAAGGTGATGGCATGCCTGGTTGCCATCATTGCAGTGGTATTTGGCATCATCAGTAGCTTGAATCAATTCATGGGGGACAAATTGACAATTGCTCATCACTGACAATTGTTAACTATCATGACTGAGGCCAGGGGATTGACATGGAGCACCATCAGTTGATCAATCAGGGAGTGCCTTGGCCACATGGGGCATGGCAATGCAGGGAAATTAGCATGGGTGGAGGGTGCACACAAATCAGGTGATGTACTGCTTCATGCTGTATGCATTGTGGAAGATGCATCAGTTTGTGGATCATGCAACTTGGAGTCATTAATTAGTTAAGTATGCAAATGTATTTGTTTTGCAATGGCATGCAGGTAGTCACATGAACATTGATGAACATTGTTCACTGCTCAGGCATGCAACATCAGCAACTCAGCCTGGACATGTGCAAGGAAAGCAGGGTTCATGGAGAAGCGTGCCTGTGTCAGCAATCAGATTCATGATTCATGGCATGGAGTTTGCTTGAACCAGGTGTATAGTGTGTGAATGCTTTAAATTCTTGATGAACTTCAGGCATGGACATCGCCTATGGAGGCTTCCATGATTTGCAAAGGCATGTGGCACAGGTGCTCAGAGAGCCTCTTGGCTGATGCAAGATAATTACATGAAGCATGATGATGAGCACATGAGGTGATAAGGAACTAGTTAGTCAGATGTCATCAGCTGTTACTCAGTTAATTACTGGGCTCAGGTATGATGATCAGATGGGGGATTCTGCCATATTGGTGGGCATGATCCAGGGATTGCGCCCTACATTTGCACCAGGGATGAGCAGAACCTTGCCAGCATTAGTTTCATTAGGCAATGCTAATTATCAGCAGGCAATGCAGCAGGGCAACCATTGCAACCAGCATGGCAACACATGATTGGCTTTATTCATTCCAGCCAAGGGGATTACTATGAGGCAGAATGGGATTTGGCAATTCGTGCAGCATTGCTGGATGCAAAGCTGCAGGCCCAGCAGCTTTGAGTAACTAATGAAATGACAGTTCATGAAGCAAAATTCTAATTAAGTTGCATGATGATTGGACTTGTTGTTTTCAACTAAGGTATCAGCAGCTGATTCGCAAGGTATGTGGGATGAAGGACTATGTGGCACATGATAAAGAGCAGTTCATCAGGAAGAATGCCAACAGGAAGGAATGGCAACAGGAGCAATTCCATCCAGAGCATTGGATTAATTAGTAAACAAATGATTACATGAGTGCTTGAAACTAGCAAGTGTTTGAGATGTGCTGAGGATCAGGATGCTGCTTCCATCATGGGCATGTGCCCCCCATGGAGCAAGCTCATCAAGGCATACCAGGCCATTGATGCCAGGATGCAGCAGCTGGTGTGCCTTGGAAGTTTCAATCCAGAATCAGCAATCAAAGAACTGTTAGCTTGTGAGTGCATGATGTGATATCCAAGTGCATCATTGATTAAGGAAGCTCTATGAGCACTACAATCAGCAAATGGATCAGTGGGAAATGGACATTCCATTGCAGCCCATGTGGTCATTCCAAAGGGAGATGACCAAGATCGACAAGATGTGCCTCAGCAAGCAAGCATTTGATGAGTTTGATGAATTATCAATCAACAGACCCAGCAAGCAATCAGCAGGATACATAGTTAACAAACATCAGCTCTTGACCATCAGCAAGCAACATACATGTGAATAGTGTGCAAATGAGGATCCAGGAAAGCGAGGATAAGAAAGGGAGCCTTGGAGAATTAGTTGAGTCAAGGTAGAAGTCATCAGCATCAATGTGCATGCACACTTTGGACTTAAGGCAGAAATGCATCAAGGGCATGTTCTAAGCCTGATGCAGCCAGGAAGATGTGACTTGACAGCACATGATGAATGCAAGTGCAATGGAAGGGGACATTGGTTACTTGTTTGGGTGTGCAATGCAAGGCGCCATTCATCAGCTGGTATGGCACAAGCGGGTAAGGCGCAGTGCCTTGCAAGCAATAGATGGGCAGT